TCAAACAAAAAACCCCTCACCTTCTGGTACCTTTAGTATTTCTGAAAAGAGATGGAAATGGCCCTGCAAAAACAGTAGGAAGGACTCTCTGGGGCCCAAGTCAGTAACATCTGAGCTTTGCTCATGTATCCCCTGCCTGCACTACATGTAGAAAGTGAGATAAAAGCAACACTCTGAGGCTGCTTAAACTTGAGAAGAGGGATTGTGACCACATAGAATCCCCACTGCAGAAAGGAAGCTACGGCCGGTTATAGCTTGCTTCTACTAGTAACTTAGTCAATGAAAGAAATCATCTTCAACAACTTCTTTCTGTACTTTTTTTTTTTTCCTCAGAAGTAATTTTCAATGTCAGACAGACTCTAAACTATACTGGGCCAAGCAGTTTTTGTTCTAGAAAGGAAAAAAAGCTTTTCAATAAATGCTGAGTTATTTCTTGTTGTGCATCCTGCAGGTGCTCTCAAAATAAGTTTCACAGCAACATTCAGAGGGCAAGAGATTTTACCTACATTGATGGGGATCTCTTTTCTGTGGTTAGCAGACTGATTTAGCTCCCAGCCCCAAAACACTGACACCCTGGTCTTTGCATCCAACCCCCTCTCCATCTGGGTTCCCTACAGCCAAAGATTCAATCCCCAAATTACCATTGCCTCTCAATAGGTGGAACGAAACCCTAAGAAACAACCTGTTAAGTATCACATAAAAATAACTCCAGCAGCTCACACCACCTTCCTTTTCTCTAGGCTGCCTCTCATCACACCCTTCCCACTCTGGCAGCCAAGCCCATCAGATTACTTCACCACCTTGCTCAGCCCTCCTGAGGCACAGACCTTCTTCTTCCCCAGCCACAGCTATTAGAGGCCATCACAGCTGTGGCCAACATCTTAAGCTATTACAAAAGCTAAAACCAGGAAATTCTGTTTTTGCAGGGAAGAAGCTTGGTTTTCAGCATTCTTACAGTCATAGTTTGCTCACCTAGCAGAAGTGTTGCCTGTATCATGTGGCCTTGGCTGTGGAGCTGAAACGCATATCACAGACTTATTGGAGCGCTGTAACCATTTAATGCCTCATCTCATCTTTTTCAGACAGCACAGACAGTGCTTCTTGTGGTTGCTGTGTTCCTGCTCTCCTGGCTGCCTCACCACATCATCACAATGTGGGCAGAGTTTGGGCACTTTCCCCTCAACAACATCTCCTTCACCTTCCGCATCATCTCCCATTGCTTGGCCTATGGGAATTCCTGCATCAACCCCATCATTTACGCTTTCCTCTCAGAGAACTTCCGCAAGGCCTGTCAGCAGGCCTTCAACTGCAAGTGCTTCCTGCAGCCAGTCCCCACTGAGAAGCTGGTCAGAATACGCATGGAGAACTTCTCTACCACACACTCAACCACTAATGTGTAAGCGGGGCTCAGAAATACCTTTCAGGAGAAGAAAGGAGGGCGGTGTCTGACAGAACAGCTATACAGGGGCATTTTAGGTACCTTGCTGCTAGGCACCATCAGAAGTGTCTCAATGCCCTTGTGGTTTCCCTAAGAGGAAACAGCTGTAGTTATGTCCATAAAGGATAAGATGTGTTTAAACAGAAGGTGTAATTATGGACAGACATGAAATGAGCAAGTTAACAATTCTGCTTGTGGGCTGTTATTAGGATGTGAGCAATGAGTGACGTGACATTTACCAAGGGCGCTGAGAAGCAGTTTGGTAATCTAGCTAACATATCAACGAATGTGTCCATTTCTTAAGCAATCATTTTACCACATGTGAGCTGTGTATGTTTTTAGCTGTGATGGAATCTCTAAATCTCCTGCAAGTCTTTGCCATAATATTTACTTACTGTGTAGTACAACATGAGGTCTCACTGATGCTCATGTCTGCGTTTGATGGCTCTGTAGAGGCTTGCATTCCCCAGGGTCTCAATGTCTGCATACTCCTGGATGTAATTATGGCTGTTAATGACCGGCTGTAATAACTGCCTAACTAATAATTATGTGAGATTTCTCAAAATATGCCTAAAAGAACTGTTTTTGTCTGAAAGTGATATTTACACAAGGCTTTATTGGTGCATGTGCTGTTCTCTGGGCATATCTACCCAAAGCTTTTTATTGGACGTGTTCTTATACAAATGTTAAAATACCTTCTTTTGATTAAATGTTTAAGTTTAAAGTTATGATTTGTGAATATATAAAGCACGTGTTACTTCAGATTTAAGAAGCATATGGCCAGAAGGCTATTACAGTGTCACCATATGGTCTGATGTCATCACTGTGTGCTTCAGTCCTGACTGATCCAGCGTTATTCTGGATTCACAGACTCTTAAGGAGCTTTTAAAAGTGTATTATAGAAGTTTAACTTGAAGTTTAACTAAGAACCATAACCACAATACCCAAATACGGTCTCGATTGCCTTCAGTATCTTTTACGACTGCCTTCAAAACGTATATGCCAATTTCTGTGAGATGTACTCCATGCACCAAACATTCATATTTTTTATTAACGTGTACGTTTTACCCCGGCCTCAAGCCCACTGCTGTGCTCAACTGACCAGCAGTCGCCCCTGCGCCGCCATTACCGCCCCCTCAGCCGGCGCGGCGCGAGGGCGGGCACGCGGGGCGGCCCCTTCCCGCCACAGACCCTCAGCGCCGGCGGGAGCCCGCGCCCCTCGTGAGGGGACACGCCGCCCCGCCGCCTCAGGAAAAAAGAACGGCTCTGTTATCGCCAGTGTCGCTTAGTTGCTGATAGAAACCAAGCCGATGCATTATGATCGTTTGCCGGGTTGTTTTGGCTGCGGATCTCCAGTCAGAAGCTGATGTTTACGTGACATTATTTAACTTTTCAGAGCTATTTTCTCCCCGGAATCGAACGTTACCTGAGAGGAGGCAGTGTTGTAGAAATCAGTCACATTATTTAGCTGGGAACTGTAGGTAGCAGAGCAAAATACTACAGCGCGGACCTGCAACAGCAGTTGGGGTCCCAAGCGAAAAAAGAAGAAAAAAAAAATCATCTAAAAGGGCAAATATACATGAAACTGGGAAAGCCATTATCACCAGCTCACTCACTCAGGAGGACGCTAAAACACAGTAACTCCACATTCATGTAACGTGGGGAAGCGCTGCAGCTTTGAAAACTGCCTCCTGTTAGATTGAAACTACGTGACACCTGAGGTGGTCAGCCTGAAAGCAGGCAAGAAAATATTAGCTTTTTTTTTTTCCTTGGAGTTTAATAAAACTAATTCATCTAAGATAATCAGTGTATTCATGTTAAAGCCACTTGCAGGACCTGACACAACACAAGATGTGTTTCAACAAAGAGGGTTTTCTGTGAATTATAATCCTACAGATTGCCCCCAAGTTTAAGTATTTACTCTCCAGGAAAGCACACATCTGCCTGCAGATGCACAATTGCACAATTTGCCATGGAATGAAGTTTGGAGTGCTCTACACAACTAACGGGTTGCCCTGTCGCTTCATTCACAAAGTTGAAAGCCTTCTATTGAAGAAAATAACTTTACCCTAAGAATCCTGTAACTGCAACTGATCAGAATACACAGCTTCAGTATCCAGCAAAAGGTTATAGCCTTACGCTGAAGTGGCTGTTGAAGGTTTCTGTTTCTCCAGCTTTCACTCATACTAAGCTCCAGAACCTTATTTGGTTGGAAACTAGATACAGAGACACTGCCATGTTCTTTTCAGTTAACAGATTTCTACATACTGAATTTTAGGAAAGGCAGAGATGGATAGTACAGAAGAAAGAGCCACTAAAAGGAAGAGCTGCAATAAGTCCCCCCAATATAAGTCATAGTTAAATTACTTTTTTTTTTTTTTTTGAGTGATTATTTCCCATGGACGCAAATGAGCAGCTAGATACAAAATAACCTCAGCCTCACTTTAATCTTCTCAGTTTAAGAGAACAGTGACACCACACCCAAAAGAAACTTTCTGCATCTGTTCTATTAGAATAGAATTTGAGTCAAAACACTTTCTTTCCTGCCATTGGAGACATTTCCAGCTTTTTTTTTTTTTTTTTTTTTTAATCACTTCAACAGACATGTCATATGGAGAACAATCAGCAAACACATAATGCCTTTTTTAATACAATAAAGCAGCACCAATGTTTATTCTCAGTGAAAGACATCAAAGCCTGAAAAAGCCTTCAGTTTTATTACACAATTTTTCTCCCACCCATCTTTAGAGGCATCTGGTCTACAATCCTCTGAATAAGCTGCCATAAAAAAATCCAACATAATTTGTCATTTTGCCTTTCCACCATGTAACTAAATTGGGCCAAAGATGTAACAAGGTTGGGAAGATAATTTCTTTTTTCCTGCCAGTAGACACTTTAAAAAATGTTTAGCTAGTGATAAGGGACATTGAAATGCAACAGAACCGCACATCACAGAGGCACATTCATGAGTTGTGATGCCTCTGGAAATGATTTTTACAGTTTCTGAAACAGTGCACCAAGTTAACCAGATCATCTTGTTCTGAAACTCAATTCTCTATCATTTCAGCCTACCTTACACACTTACTTGTTGTATCTTAATTGATTCAATTTAGTCCCTACCAGGCCATTTATTACCAACTCAAATCAAGCTGCTTTAGGAGGATGTTCATTAAGAGAAGCATCCATGCCTGGGAGACCTGTCCTTTTTCGAGCAGCAGTCTCTATTTTCCGCACCAGGTCCACATCCCATCGATGGGTTACAAAGCTAACCACAACTCCAGGTATCTTGCTTCCGACCCGCCCAACACGCCCCACACGGTGTAGGTAATCCTGCAGGGTGTTTGGGAAGTCATAGTTGACCACAAGCTGCACACTGCTAGTGTCCAACCCCCGTGAGGCAAGGTCAGTGCAGATGAGGACAGACACATCTCCCTTCTGAAAGGAAGCAAAGATGCCAGCTCTAGCAGCTGCCAACATCTGTCCCTGTAATCTCAGGTGCTTGATTTTGTGATCATCCAAGATATAGCCCAGCCAGTTGACGGTGCTGGCACTGTTGCAGAAGATGAGGACAGCCCCACTGGACGCTGAGCGCTCCTTCAGGAGCTGCAGCAGTTCAAGCAGCTTGTCCTGGCCTTTGAGACGGACAAATTTCTGCTGGACATGCGAAGGCAGGCGATGCAAGCTCTGGGTGCTGATGTTGACAAAGCAGTCCACGTCGACAAACCTCGCAAGCATCTGGCTGAGCCCCGCCGGGAAAGTGGCTCCTACCACCACCACCTGGGTCCTCTCCTCCCCGGGGCCAGCCGGCGCGGGGGCACCCGCGGCAAGCGGGGCGTGCGCCAGGACCTCCTGCAGCGGCGCGGCGAAGGACTCGTCGTCTATCAGCGCGTCCGCCTCGTCCAGCACCAGCCAGCGCAGCCGCCCAAGGACCAGAAAGCGCCGCCGCAACGCGGTCCGCAGCGCCCCCGGGGTGCCCAGCAGCACAGCGGCTCCCGGTGGTGGCGCCCGCAGCTGCCGCCTCAGCCCTCCCGCGGCGCCGCCGCCGGTCAGCCCGCGCACCAGCAGCCCCGCAGGGCGGCACAGCGCCTCCGCCACCGCGCCCACCTGGGCCACCAGCTCCCGCGACGGCAGCACCACCAACCCGCGGGGCGACGCCGATCGCGGCCCCGACCCCTCGGGCTTCTCCACGGCCGGCTCCAAACCGGCAGGGCGGGCCAGCAGCCGGTCGAGCAGCGGCAGCAGGTAGGCCAGCGTCTTGCCGCTGCCCGTCTCGGCGGCGCACAGGGCGCTACGACCGCGGCGCAGGGCGGGTATGGCGAGGCGCTGCACCGCTGTGGGGCGGCTGATTGAGAGGTCCCGCAGGGCGGTCAGAAGGGCCGGCTGCAGCCCCATCTCCGCGAAAAGCGGGCCCTGCCCCGCTTGGGGCTCCGGCGCCAGCAGGGCGGGGGCCACTTGCTGGACGGCCTCTAGCTGAAAGTAGTCCCCACGCGCCTTCCTGTGCTTCCAGCCCGCCGACACCAGCTGCGGACAGTCCCAGCGCCCCACCGTCTGCCAGCGGGGCTGGCTCAGCTCCGGCCGCCGGCTCCGCAGCAGCAGCTTACCGGGCCGCACTGCCGCCGTCTGTCCCCGCCCGCGCCGGCAGCCCCGCTCGCCCCGCTGCAGGCGCAGCCGCAGCGCCCAGGGGATGCGCACCACGTTCTCGGGGGGCTGCGCGCTCGCCGCCCGGGCCGCGGCCACCCCACTGTGCCTTAGAACCATGGCCTATCCCGCGTGATAGCGGCGGCGCGATCTGATGACGTCACGACGCAGCGCCTCGCCCAGCCGGCGCCGGGCGAGGAAGGTGAGCGCGTGCGGCCGTACCTCGGGTGCCGACCTCATCCCGCCGTAGCCTCTCGGCGGGCCACTGGGAGCTGGCACGGCCCCGCGCCCCTCAGGTCAGAGCCCGTTCCCCGTGCAGCTGGCTCCGGGGTCGCTGCGGCCTGCGTGGAGCCTGTCAGGTTGGCAGCCTCAGCACCCACGAAGGGAAGCTTGGGGCGCTTACTGGTAGGGGATGCTGTTTGCTAACACCTTGCCCCCCGCCTTGCTTTCTCTGTTTTAAACAGCAACGGGAATGACGGTGAACACACCTCTCTGCTTCAGGGGAAAAAACATCCTGGCCCCCATGGTGCGTGTGGGAACGCTGCCAATGCGGCTCCTCGCGCTGGACTATGGCGCCGACATCGTGTACTGCGAGGTATGAGCAGGATGGCTGGGGACGTTGTTATTGCCAACAGTAAAGGAACGTGGGTGGATAGGAAATCTGGGGATGTGGTTGCAGAGAACTGAGTACAGGAACAGACTTGGCTTACTCAAGGACTTTCCTTTTCCATATCCTTTCCATTAAAGAAATGGATAGAGTAGCTCAGCAGAATGCTGTGAGTTGCCATCAAGTCATGGAAGACCCATGCCATAAGGCTGCTTAATTACTTCAATTAATTTAGACAAAGCACTCACTATAAATTTATTTATATTTTACAGCAGTAGCTTACTTTTGTTTCTAGCATGGTAGATAAGTGTTTGAGCAGAATATATCTTACAGAAGTACTTCAGCACACCATTGTTCTGCTCATAAAGAAGTGAAATTGCTTCCTCCAGGTTCCTGACAATAACAGGCAAAGCATTCACAGGTAGGTTTTGGTGGCTGGCCCTTATGTTAGCCCAGGATGGCTCTACTCTAGGTCCACATGTTCTGGTGGCATAGAGAACAGAGGTGCCAACAATTTGCCTGTGCTCCTTAGGCCAGCCACAATCCTTCACCAGGTGCTCGATCGCCAGCTCCAGCCATGACCTAACAGTTCCCCTACAGTCATCTTTCATAGTTTGAAACTTTGAGTGCAGTGCTTCGGTTTGTTTATTTTGTTCTGCTTTTGATAGTTTTTTTTTTATTATTTAATAAAACAGATAATTCCCTACAGCTGGAAGGTTTGTATGCTTTTACTCATTAAGATTTTTCCCCCTTTGTTCTCAGGAGCTGATTGACATAAAGATGATGCAGTGTAAGAGAGTAGTAAATGGTAAGCATGGTATTTCTTTTGTTAATATCTGTAAGCATTCTTTTTTTTTATTCAAGAGAAAAAAATTACTTTGCTGAAGTCATCTTACAGTGATCACCATGAGATGTAGGTACCTATAATCCTTCTAAACAGCTCATAGAAACCTAAATAAGCTTTTGAAGTGCCATTCTTACACCTGTATGTTTCTGTACGGTTTCAGACTTTCATTTCTACTTCTCCAGGCACTTCAGTTCTTCAGCCAGGGAAACCACAAGTCTTTTTAGAGGACTGAGCTAACCAGTTAGTAACACTGTAGGATACTGAAAAAAAAAATACTAACATACAGTTCTTCCCTACCCTTTGGGGAATAGGAGGAGAAACCTCACCATTGACTTAAGCTGCTGCTGGGATTCAATGAATCTTTTGTTAAATTTTTTGACAGATCTTAGGTCACTGGGCGTGTAGGTGAAGGGGACAGTGCTGGGCCCAGCTCACGGCCACCCCTGCAGCTCCATCTGCTACCAAAACCTTGTTAGCCCACTACAGTGGCCAAGAAACACATTCATTCAGACTTTAGTAGAGACAGCTTATGATCAAGAGTCCGTTTAAGTATTACCTGTTGGTAGCATTATTAAGGAAGCAATGAATTTGAGGTCTTACTGTCATTCTTTCCTTAACTTCAGGTCTGGGGCCTAGATTTGGCATAACATGATTTTCACAGCCAAGTTCTTAAAAGACCTTTGTAAGTTTCACAACAGCTGGGTGAGATGAGAAACAGCTTTTTATAGTATCCCTGTCAAGGAACAGAAGTCAACCATAAGTCTGTATTCCATTCTTGCCTTTCTGAAAACTGTAGTGTTACATTCATTCTGGCTTGTTTCAGTGCTGTTGCTCCCCCAGCAAGTTGGGAGTAACAAGTAATGGAACTTGCAGTTTGCAAGAAACGTACTGCAAAGGTTTAGGGAAGATCAGGTGTCACTGGTTGTTCATGGAAATTTTGCTTGGTAACATTTAGCTTATATACAAATTGTATAGTCACTACTTCCTTTATGATTGCATTTGTATACTATTTGTCTGTTTTATGTTCCTCGCTGCATATAGAAGTTCTTGAAACAGTAGACTTTGTTGCACCAAATGACAGAGTTGTTTTCAGAACCTGTGAAAGGGAGAGGCACCGAGTCATCTTTCAAATGGTAAGAAAGCAAAAGCAGGTACTCTCCTAAACCAGAAAGTGCTAGTTACAGTCTTAATCCAAGACCAAAAGAACTCTGTATTACAGATTCTCTATTCTTTGATGCTTCAGATAAAGATAAGATTTCGCATAACATTTGTTACAGAATTTTTAAGCTGTTTATACTCATGCAGTTAACATGCTGCTGTGTAAGTTTTCCATACGAGTGTTTTCAGAAGAAGTGATTAAGGTGAATTCTGTGCTCTCCGAAGAGATCTTGTTTTTGTAATCAGTTTCTTTTTGTATTTTCAAAACATACACATACCAGCAATGAATTACAGTGACGCTTGATCACATGCTTCAGTCTTGCACTGCAAGCCTCACTGGAAAGACTAAACGATATTGTTTGTCTGTCTAAGAGGGCATTAGGATGTGCATTAATGTTGCTAAAATTGATGGAGGATGGAGGCTGCATTAGACAATGAAAGACTTTTTCAGGGGTAATGATAGTGCTGGAATAAGCTGTGTGTAGAGGCTATTGACTCCTGAGAGATGGAAATACTTAAAAACAGGACATCTAATTGTGATAGACTGAGAACATTTGGTACTGTTGTAGGTTAGGAAAGAGGATTGATCTCTTAATTTCTTTTTGCATCACTTATTGTCATTCACTGGTTGACATGCTTAAGCTAAATGTTTTTGCTATCTTGTGCTGTGAAAGGGTCTCTTTTACATTGTACTAAATGCTTAGAGCAAATATAGTTTTCCATATATGGAAGTGTACTTTTTTTATTCACTTGATGCTATTTTGTAATTATATACTCTTTATTTTATCATCAGGGTTCAGCAGATGCTGAAAGAGCCTTGGCAGTAGCTAAGCTTGTGTAAGTCATCTACTCTCACACCATTCCCACTCTGGCTTCATAGTTTTATTATTGGTAGTGGTGGTTGTGGCTTTTGTGGCTTTTTTTTCTGTTGGCTTTTTTGGGAGGGGGTTATTTTAGAGAAGACAAATTGTAGTGATTGAAAGGTTGAAGGTAGGTCCTGATAGGTTCAAGAAAAGTGTTGGTTTTCTTTTTTGAGGACTGAACAGTATAAGGTAGTTGATCAACAAGATGTGAATCAGTACAGTAGAACAATGCAGACTGCAACTTCTATTTAAAACAATTCATACTCAAAATAGTAGCTGCATGATTTCTATGCAGGGTTTGAATGGCACTTTTCCAGTGCAGTGGGTGTGTCCTTGATCTTTCCAGTGTGAAATTCTGTGGCCTTATTAGCAGGTGTGTAATATCCAGTATGCCTGCTAATAACTCCTGTTTTTGCGTGGTTTGAAACCTCTAGTAAAATATTGTGCAGAAATGAGAACTGAATCTCAAACACTTTGAAAGGTGTTTTTAAGTCTCCATTTTAAATAGATGGAGTTTCCATAAGACTTGTTGACACTGGTGAATTTGGTGGTGGATGTGGTTTACATCACTTAATTCTAGATAAACACAGATGAGTATTTGCAGCTTCTGCACACTGTTCATCAAAACACTTAGTCTGGTTTTCAGACTGCTGTTTAAGTACATACATAAGCAAGAAGCTGAAAATTCAGAAGTTCAAATAAAAGCTTAACCTTGAATTTACATTTAAGCCTTATAATGATGAAACATACATCCTGGTAAGGTATCTATTTCCTAGTTCTTGTTCTAGTATGCTGAAACACATTCTTCTTATTTCTTCTATTTCAGAGAGAGTGATGTAGCTGGTATTGATATCAATATGGGCTGTCCAAAAGAATATTCTACTAAGGCAAGTGAATTTTGATTATACTGGATTCTTTCTCTCGTTGATACCTTCTATAGAAAAGGCTTCCAGTTCAGAAGACTCAAAGCTCCATTCCAGGGAATAAGCCTGGCTGTTGCATGTAAACTTTGTCTTCTGGTCTTTGTATTACTGGCATTTTTAGTATTTGGAACTGTCATATGGAACTATAATGCTTTGTCCTTTAAGCAGAGATGACAGTATATTCACATTATTAATACTTTCTCTTCCTAATTTTATGTTATCACTTCTTTCCATCTGGAAGCTTTTACTGTTCTTCTATTAAGGCAAAAGGCAAATGAGAGCTTGAAGTCTTTCCTGCCTCCTATTACCAGTCTAAACATTTATAGAACTTGGATATTGCCTACTGTTAAAGCAAGTTGCATGCAGATCAAGTACACTATTCTTTCCATCCCCAAAATAGAACCCCGTGCTAGTTTATTGCATCTGGCTCACAAATAGACATAGCCAATTGAAATGAGATATCTGGTTGTTAAATGCAGTGTTCTTAAAACAGGGAATAGTAATGGCCAAACCTGATGCTACCAAATATGCCCATACCTTGCATGATGCTGTGACATTATACAGATCTCTCATTCTCCTTTTCCTGTTTTTAAGCCAAGAGAAATAAACATTTTGTTTAAGTGAATTGTATTTTCCAGAAATAGAATACATTTCTCAATTAAGTTACTTGAATAGGAGAAGGGTTTATTCTAGGTCTTAAGGAGAGAGAGACTACATGAAGTTTTGGAACAGAAGAACCAAAGAGCCCTAACGATTGTATGTAGAGTGTTTAAGAGATGACTGATGGATTTTGCCCTCACAAGGAATACTTTTTCCCTTGTAATATGTAATGAGCTTAAGAACAGAGTAAGGCATCTTTCAGGTATTTAGTACCTTCACTTAAGTAGTTTGTAGTGTTCTAGCATCTGTCTTCCAATAGTCAATGTTTAGCATCCCAGGAAATGATAAAAGAGAAGTAATAAAATTAATCAATTCTTAGGTAGATTTTCTCTTCTGTTATGTTTAGCTTTGTAGATTAGCTTATAGTAGAAAGAAGAAATATTTTTATTTTTCTAATATTTAATTAGAGATGGTTTGTCTAGGTAGATTTCTTGGGTCATTCCTGTTTTAGTCCCATTATCATTTTTGTTGCTTTAATAATCATATCTGAAAACAATGTAGGGAGCATAATACAATAACAGAATAAAAAGCACCATAATAATAGCAGAATGGTAAAGTCTGGCTACAGCAAATGAGAACAAACATAAACATAGCAACTATAGACATAGAAATGAAGGAAAAGAGCTACTCACCTTTGAAAAGCCTCAGGTAGACAGGGATATCCACTAAGAGATACCCTTACCTCCATTGCTAGCCCTTAAATGAGGTCTGGGAAGGGGTGGATCCTGGCTCCACCCCTTCTATTTACTTAGGTACATTGCTTGCACCTGAGCTCCCTAGGGTTGGCCCTGGACCTTGGTGATCAAGAGGGCTAATGCCATCCTGGTCTGCATTTATAATGTGGTCAGCAGGAGCAGGGAGGCAATTATCTCTTCTGTACTCAGCTCTGATGAGGCCACACCTTGAGTACCATGTTCAGTTTTGGGTCCTTCTCACAAGAAGGTATTGAGGTCCTGGAATATGCCCAGAGAAGGGCAACAAAATTGGCAAAGAATTTGGGGCATTAGTCTTATGAGGAGTAGCTGAGGGAGCTAGGATTGTTTAGTCTGGAGAAGAGGAGGTTAACTAAGTTTACATTGCATAGGCAGGAACTACTTATAGTGAAATCCTGCAAACATGATGTGTAATGCTCAAGCAATATATCCCAAATGCTTTGCTGTCACTTAATGAGTAGGAATAGATGATTACAGTTACAAAAAGTGGCTTTTTGAAATCTGCTTTCTCCTTGATGTAATGGGAGCGAGTTGGTGCCCTGAATTACTGCTTCATTATTCTGATACTATTCCAGGAAGTGTTTCACCAAGCTGTTCACTAATGCTCCTGCATTACAGATTTCTCCATTTTCTACTTTCTTGCTTTAAAAAGCACTGCAGTACTTTTGCTACAATCAGCTGTTAGATGAAATAATCAAGTTGAAAAATGTTTTTCATGTTCCTAATGTCACAGTTTTTATGTATTTTCTCAGGGAGGTATGGGGGCAGCACTTCTATCTGATCCTGACAAAATAGAGTCTGTAAGTATGATCTGTGGTTATCATTTGTTTTACAAGCAGCATTGGGTCTTTTGTCTATCAGATAAAATGATAGACTCCATTAGTGATTGTGTTCCTTAAGTATGTAAGATTCTCTATAGAGATACAATAACCAAATGTTAAACTCTTCTAATTTAATTGCATCTTGAAGTAAAGAAAGTTTTGTTCAGCTCACTTCTGTTATCACATTTCTTGTCTTTTTCCATCTCCAGATACTGACTACTCTTGTGAAAGGAATTTGTAAGCCAGTAACCTGCAAAATCCGCATTTTGCCCTCAGTAAGAACATGAATTGTTATGCTTGTTTATTTTAGTTTAATCCTGTGATTTAAAATCAGTTCTAGTACATGGAGTTCTTATAAATTGACATTTTAGACCTGCTCTTGTGAAATAGCATTTGAAATTGTAATTTGTTGGGAGTGCCGAACTATTCTCCTGTAATGCAAAAACTCAAAGTACTAAACATAAGATGTTTTCACATGGCCTTATTCTATTGAATTCTGAATGTGGATATTTCCATAATCATGGCTTGCAGTCTTGTTTATTGTAACCCACTGAGTTAATCTTAAAGGCTTTGCTGATGGGTACATGCTGACTGAAAAATAAGAAGGGGCAGTTATTGTTGAAGGCTGCTGCATATGGAACTGATAGAGAGTAATGTGTGTGTGTAGGCACAGAGTGCTGGCCTTTGAATGCAGTGGCAGTCTGCATGAGACTTAAATGAAAGGTGAAGCTGAAGAGGCGGTGTTACTTCTCCAGCTCCCAACATTTGTGTTAGCAGTGAAGATTTCACTACTGAAATTGTATTTACAGTTGTAACTGCTTGTGCTCTAGAAACTACTCATATTCTGTGCAGCAAGGAGCTTTGTGTTTCTCCTGATTAAATGTATGTACAAACGCAGCAATAATTACAGATGATACAAAAGGTTGCAGAAATTGTTTGATAGATTGAACACTAAAATTGCTAGCTTATATGAGGAGATTCATAATCTTTTGCAGAAGCAAAACTTCCGTCACATCTTTAGAATGACTTCCTATAGATAAATTCTTGAGTAAAGTCATTCATTTCAAGGGAATTGTGATAGGAGTTATTTTGATAGAACTGCTGCATTTTATTTGTCAGTGTCTTTTCTAAAGTATAACTACTAAGAACACTGTGAAAATACGTATTTTTAAATCTCCAGGTGATGTGCCTGCTCCTCTAGTGAGTGATGCTGAAAATCTGTTTGATTACGTGTTTAGTTGCTGTGATTGCAAATAACTGGGTAGGCATTTCTGTAGGTGGTTGAATTGTAATTAAGCTAGCTGTTGTTCACGTGTCATGTGCATGTGCCCTTAAATGATCATACAAACAGATGAAGTCTCTGATAAGAATCACTATTCTGTTTCAGGAGTGCTATCTAATATTGTTTAACAATAACAAAAGCTGGATCTTCTGCTTTTGATTTCTATGACTATCTTAGAGCCTCTTCCAATTTTTTCAAGCTGGTTTTACATAGCATGTCCACTGTCAGAGTAGCAGGTGGGCTTCTATCTCTGTGTTTGTGCTACCTGGTAGGTGTTGCATTTTTTGGAGACTGTGCTATTTAGTGATGAGCCATCGATTGCCTTCCAGCTTTTGAAAAGAAAACTGGCATGTAAAAAAAAATCTCCTTGGCCCTGAAGCTGCAGAGCTGTATAAGGCAGGCTAACTAGCACCATACCAAATTTCTTTCTGCCTTTTAACAGCATCTTTCCTTTTTAAATAAATATTGGGAGCTTCTTGTTCTTCACTGTTTCTTTGATTCACTAGTCATGTGTGAATGCCATTTGTATTTTAGTTACTAGGTAACTCTGAGACGTTTCTGATAGGAATATTTATGAACATGATTGCATTTTAGATTGATTTCAGAAGGCTTTCTCTTAATCATCCGTCTAATGTGTGTTTTAGTTACAGCTCACAGAGTGAGCTATGGTTAAATAGGTTAAATGGTTAAAGAGAACTTGCTGTTTGGTATTTCAAATGAGCCCACAAAGTACTGATGGAAAATGCTCTTCAGGAGGGTATTGTGTTATCTGGCTCAAGAAAGTTTGCAATCCATGGTTTTGAGAAGCTATTGAAAATGGATTCTTGTTCTTTCAATGAAGTATGTGTTAAGTAGGTACATGCTGTTGGATTATGGGAGTCATGTTTCTTATGTCTCTTACTGAAAGACAAGAGTTCTGGCATTTGTTTTCTATCTTTGAACTAAGGTTGTCATTCTCTCCTACCACTCAGGTTGAGGATACTGTGAATTTGGTAAAGAGAATAGAAAAAACTGGTATTGCTGCCATTGCAGTCCATGGAAGGTAAATCTGTTCCAGACAAGAGTTTTACATCCTTGCTACGCTTTGCTGGCAAATGTTGCACAGTAAGATATGATTAGAATATATTCTGCATATAATATGTAATTCTCATTTCAACTGCTAGCTAAATAAGTATTCTTAAAAATCAAGCTAGTCATTAGGGAATTGGTCTTTTTAGTGCTAATGAACATTTACTGCTATTTTTCTAGATTTAGGCTCAACAAAAAACAAAACTGTCTTGCACATGGTGTCTAAAAATCCCTGCTAATCTGGATATGGAGTTATAGTAGCAACAACTTTAAATGTTTTTGATTTCAAAGATTCATGCTTGAAAAAAATGAAATATATGAACAACAAAACAAAGTAGCAGAAGTACAAAGTAGTACAAAGTAGTACTCAACAAGAAAAACAAGTATTTAAAATTTATGAGGTTCTGCTGTGATCTAAATATGTAAAAGTTTCTTAGGAATTTTGGTCTTTTTCCTTTGTTGGAAAGGAAGAAGGAGGAGAGGCCTCAGCACCCTGTCCACTGTGATGTGATCAAAGCCATATCTGAAGCAGTCTCCATTCCAGTAATAGCAAAGTAGGTTGGAGTAATCAGCTGGTTATTGTAATATACCTGTACCTAGCTTAAGATGTACTAGTGCAGAAGAAAGGAGATTTTTCATGTGGGGGCAAATCTTATAATACAGGATGGGCAATAATTACAAAGTATCATTTTCAAACAATGTCAGTGTAGTTTTTTGTGTGCCCTGTCCATTAAAGATTTTTGGAAGTATGCAGTTTGTTTAAATCAAACTGTCTTCATTCTGTTTAAAATAAATAAATAAATAAATAAATAAATAAAAAGAAAATTAAAAGAAAATGTGCAGATAATGGAAAAACGTGAAATGTAATCAACATTTCAATGGTCTATTGCTAACATAACTCAGACCCATTTTTCCTCTTGGTTTTGAGATAATATCCTGAACCCAGTATCATCATTAATAATGTAATATCGCATTTGAAAATACAAGGCTGTATTAAAGCTTATAGAAGAGCAAATAAAACTTCCTGGATCGTAACAGTGATGTTCATCTGTAGTGGAGGATCTCATGACTTCATCAAAGAGTATACAGACATTGAGACCTTCCAGAAAGCAACAGCTGCCTCATCTGTAATGATAGCTCGTGCTGCTATGTGGAACCCATCTATCTTCAGAAAAGAAGGTCCTTTCCCCTTGAAAGAAGTCATGCAAGATTACATCAAATATGTATGTATTTTTTGGAAGATTTTCCTTGTGATTAACATTATTTAGAATTTAGTCCAAATCTTAATACAGTGTCTTAGTTCCTGTTACTGTCAGAGACTTAAACTCTGGTGATATTTTAAAATACAGCATATTATGAGAGTCTTGTGAGTAAATCATCCCTGCTTCTGTTTTATATTGTGTTCAGTAAATAATTTATAGAAATCATTCAGGAAATGACTTCCAATGATTCTTTTCTTACATGCTGTTTCTTTAGTCCTGGTTTCTTGGTGACATTTGTGAGGCTTACAAGGCTATCCAAAAGGCTTTCCATCCAAGGCTATCCATCTAGGAATTTGGAAAGTCTGTGATGAGTAGGGCAATTCTCTTGATGTTGTTGGTGCAATTAATGTTGAACAGATAAGTGAAGGAATATTGATTACTCAGTTGCTGTCAGCTTTGTTGTTAGAAGTTAACTGCCTATCACAAATAGGTGTTTAGCAGCCAGGAAGCCAAGGTTAGGTGAGTAATCTTGAATATATTGAGAAAACTGTACACTGTATTTTGCATCTCAAAAATGATTTTGAAATTCATCAAGAGACATGCAGATTACCTAGTAAAAACTTACATGATATGTTTTTATATGCTTTGTCTTTCTCAGGCAGTGAGATATGATAATCACTATACCAACACAAAATATTGTTTGTGTCAGATGTTAAGGGAGCAGTTGGAAACTGCTCAGGGTAAGAAGCTGCATGCAGCACAGTCCACACAGGAGATCTGGTAAGTGTGAGCTTCAGAAACAGAAATGGTGTTCTGTATCAGACTTGCAAACCAGTTCTTTCTGTAGCACTGCCTGGCACTTCCAGCGTTCAGAAATTGGAAGAAAAAAAAACGTGTACTTGCTGAGATATGCAATACACTGACCAGTTTCAAGCTTCCTCCATGTTCGTAAGTTAAAAGGGTTTAACCTTAAAGATATTTATATAGCCTTCAGCTAATTTGAGAGGTGCTCAGACAGGAGTTTATCTACTATTTGCATTAACTTATTCAATTAAAAAATATCTTTATTATTCTATAAAAGTAATTTAGATGCTTGTCTTTCAGAGCTGTGGGTTGTTGTGGGGCTTTTGTTTTTTTTTTTGTTGTTGTTTTTTAAAGGAAAGCTTTCCATGTGCCTGTGGGTTCTTCATGTTCCTGGGATTTTTATGACATAATGCTTGTTTTAAATGAGCATGTAGAGATGAACTCAAAACAATGTATGAAGATAGTCTGTATGATACTTGCATGCACTTCTCTTGTGCCACTTTTCATATCTAAACATTTGTGACAACTTTTTTGAGGAAATTGCAGGTTAGTACTTGAACTGCTGCGCTTAAAAACAAACAAACAAACAAAAAAACCAACAAGGAAGTTGCATAGGCAGATGATAGGTGAAGTATTTTAAAACTAAAAGATGGGAGATCTGGATTAGTTGTTTGGAGGGAGTTTTCTACTTAAAGGGTGGTGGGGCACTGGCACAGGTTGCCCAGAGACGTTGTGGGTGCCCCATCCCTGAGGAAATTCAAGGCCAGACTGGATGGGGCTTTGGGCAGCCTGAGCGGGTGGGTGGCAACCCTGCCCACAGTTGGGTTGGAACTGGATGATCTTAAGGTGCCTTCCCACCCAAGGCATTGTATGGTTCATGAACCATAGTAGCATTGCTGTCTCTTATTCCCAGACCTCTAAAATGAGGTAAGTTCTTGGAAGGAAAAACTTCAGTTTGCAATCTGAAACAGTTTGTTTATATGAAAATAAAAGAAATGTTAAACTTGAAATATTCTGCAAATGAAATTACTGCTTTCTGGCAGCACTTGATCAACATTCTGTTCATATTTGAAAACGAATGTAAGTGCCTGCAATTCTTTTATCTGTTCACTGTGACTTACCAACACTTTCTCTCTGTAAACACCACCACCCACCATTATGTTACAACAGCCAGAGAGGGGACTTGTATTTTATGTATAAAAGGAGCCAGACTCCATTAATCGTAGGGAGCAGTGGAACTTGTAAAATATACTTACATTTTGCAAGTTAGTTTCATTTCTGCAGCGTTGAACAGATTTTTACTGTAGTAACTTGCTCTTTTTTGTGTAGAGTTTTCTAATTTGGTTAGGAGATCTGCAGTGTAGACCAAAATTGAAACAGTCTTTTACAACTTCAAATAAATATAGCCAAGTGGATGGTGGTGTTCTCTAGTGAATTAATAGTAAGGTATATTATGCAAAGGAAAGGAACTGTGAAGTAAGGTGCAAGCCTTTAAAGAGGCCATTGGGGGGGTGCAGTGTATGCATATCTGTTCTGGGTGAAGGTCTGGGGTAAAACTATGATACTTCTGTGCTGTGTAGTGATTCTTTAGGGCCTTTCTGCATTGAACACCGGTGGGTTTTATGTTTGTGATGCAATAACAATTGCAAAATTGGCTTAAGCACTGTGCATGCATAGGGGATCTTAGAAATTCATTTTATCAGTTTTCATCAGCAAATGCAAAGCCTTCTAACCATTTTTCTGAACTGGCTGGTTAATATCCAGATGAAGAAATAACTTTGAGTTATGTAAGATGAGCCTATAGTCAGACAAAAATGTTAATGCTGCTGCCTTGTGGTGATGATGGTGTGTTGCAGCCCTGTGGGATTTTAGCCTCAGTACTGAGTGCAAGACAAAGGCTGCTGCATTTCAGATGAAAGAATTTATGTAACACCACATTCAGCTTCAACACTTTTCCTCTTACTGCATTGGAGATAATGCTGTGGCTAGAGTGCATTTTATTGTTGAACAGCCTGGTATCATTGAGTATTCTGATCTTATTCAGCATGTAAGTTTTCCAGTGCTACAGGCTTTACTGTTACCTATTGAAAATTAGTAGTCTCATTATTTCAGAGCAGATGCAGTGGAAAGGTCTGGAATTTAAAATGATTTGAAGCACTTGACAGTGATCCAAATCTCAGTTTCCTGCTGTGTACTGGAGCTTGCAGATAATGCTCAAATTGAGCTAATAAATTGAATGAACACTGCAAGATGTGTATTTCTGATTCTGCCTGGAGTTTCACATTGCAATTTAAATATATAGTGATGGAAATAAGAACTTCTACTTGCATTTCAAGTGTGTCTGAGAAATGAACGCGAAACAATATAATGTCACCTATAGAATATAGCTGTACTTTCATGTGATTCTCTGCACATATATACTCTATCTCAAAACAATTGGTTACTTTATTTATTTTATCATAATTGGTTACAAAAACCACAGTCTGATCTCTAATCCAAAGAAATTCCATTTGAATAGTGAAGCTTTTGAAATGTCTGAGTTCTACAAAGAAACAACAGCTGTTTTTGAAGCTAAGAAAACATCTTTGGAAACTAAGCAGCAAGATGAAGATGACCAGGTGGAAGATCCAGATATAATAAAAATGGCTGTTAGATTTGACAAGTAAGCATGCAAATTCATTTTATTTCAGTGGCTCGCATTTGTAAAATGAATTTAACAATATTTTATAGTTTTTAGAGTAATGATTTGCATAGCAGCATGTGCAGAGTGATTTTTCTTTCTATGAAGCAATTTGTGCATGTAATTAAGTAATCACTAGTGTCACTTTTCCTGTGCTGTTTAGATGTTATGGTATTTACATCTTCAGTTTCAGGCATTCGGAGACTCAGTAATCTATTGAAAGTGCTAAGCAATTAAAAAAATCAAGTATCTGTAGATAAACAAATACAAATATACAAAAGGTATTGAGTTTTTAGGTGTTAATTGAATTGTCTAAGAAGAAAGTGGCATTTTTCTCAATTTGAGCTGTAAAAGCAAACCACAAAGAGTAACAGGTAGCAGAGATCCAATGAGCAGCACTTATATTGAGTTATTGACCTGATTTAAAGTAGTTCTGCTTATTAAGTAAACTCTAAGCACAGTTATTGACCACAAATGTTTTTGTCTAGGCGAGAATATCCACCACAGATTACTCCAAAAATGTATCTTCTGGAATGGTGTAGGAAAGAAAAGCATCCTCAGCCTGTTTATGAAACTGTGAGTCAGTCAAAAAACCTTTTCAAACCTCTTCCTGTTGTAAAATTGCCATTCTGAGGCTTGGTGTAGTGAGTTCAGTTTCCCAGTGCAGTATTGCTCTGCAGTAAGATGGTTCAGAAATTATGTTATATATATGTGTGTGTAAATATATAAAATGGCATCTTATTATATATATTATGTGAAAGTGAGGTCTTCAGTTTCTGTGAAGGTGAAAGAAGTAGCTGCAATTACAGGTCATTACACAGAAGTCCATGACTGAATGACTTCTGTGATGTTAGAGTTTGGTTTCAGAATGTTTTCTTCTGTTGCTGGACACTGTTGAAAGTATGAACTAAACTGGACAGGAGCAACTGCTTGTTTGGGTTGAGGTTGTTACTTACTGTTGTGGGTTCATTCTTGTAATGCAGAAGTATTTGTAGTTTGGAGAAATCTTCTCTTCTAATCCTGATTATGTGAGGTTAAAGCTTTAGAATTAATTACATTAGTTGTAAGGGTATTATTTAATAGGGAGTAAAGACAAGAATAATAAGGAACCTTGACAGTCTTTGCTATTTTTGACCTGTCTACCTCTTTAATTCTTTTTTTTCTCTCCAGATTCAAAGACCACTAGATAGACTATTCTGTTCAGTGGTAACAGTAGCTGACCAAAAATACAGATCAGCTCTGTGGTAAGTTAATGCTTTTGTAGATGTACTGTAGTTATTTCTGATGTGTTGCTTAAAAGTTGTGTGACTTTAATAAGAAGATACCTCCTAAAGCTACCTCTGGGAGAAAGAAAGGATTAAAACTTTCTGAGAATTGAATGTGACGAGAGATTAAGTACAAGTGAACTATTATTCTATATCTGAATTCACCTAATGTGATGGTCCACAATTTTAGTGGGAGGGGAGCACATAGGTGACCTGGTTCAGTTGTGCCTGCAAAGAGTCCGGTAACAAACCAGGGGAGACAGAGGAGACATTTTGGAGGGGGTAATGTCTTCAGCCACTATAGCAGATCTCAATACCAAGTCAGGATTAGGTGACTATAGTGAAGTAGAAGACACAGTTCAGTGGCTAGTCAGACTTCACAGTTGATCAACAGTTACATCTGGTTTCGTGGCAGTTTTCTTTTTTATCATCTGTTAATACTGGGATTGGCTTCAGGCATTTGCACCTAAGTTGAGCCTGATATAACTGCGGAGTTAAACCTCAGTATTGGACACTTTAAAGTGGATAAACGCAGACAACAGTTACTGGTATTTCTGGGACTACTGCTCAGAGACTTCAGGAAGCAAAGCTCAGCTGGTATGAAATTTTAAGAAAACATTTTCAAATATTGAATTTCACAAACATTTAATCTGAAATCCCCCTTGGAATTGACAGAATTTTTATTACTATGGAACAGCTCCTGCTTATGTCAGTGAACGTGTACACCTACAAGAGATCATATTTGGGCCTGAGGTATTTTTTCAGACAGTGATAATTTAAAACTCAATGTTGTTTAATGATCATATTTGCAAAAGTCAGCTTATATGAGGATTGCAGCTTCTTGTCCCAAACATACACTGACCTTTGAAATGAAGAGTTTGAGATGCAACTGTTCCTATCAGCGGAGGCAAATCCACATTGACACCTAGCAAGATTCAAATCACTCTGGAACTGCTGTTTTCTACTGTGAAATGACTACTGATGCTGTTTATTTCACCGTGTTACGTCAGAGACAGGAAAGTAATTGTTTTGGCAGTGTAGAGACCTCAGTTTCTACTTTTACCTATGCTCTGTCTGTTTGCTCTTCAGGGACAAGTCAAAGAAACTAGCAGAACAGGCTGCAGCTATTGTCTGTCTGAGAACACTGGGTGTCCCAGAGGGAAAGCTGTGTGAGGGAGAAAACCACCTGATTAACAAACGCAAGAGGGAAGACCAGGAGTGCTTGAACAACAGAGATCATGGAAAAGAACTTGCTGAGCCTTCCCATAAAAAAGCTAATTTTGCTGAAGAAAGTTCTGACGTGAATGTGCCTAAGATGCAACGGTAGCATGGAGGTCACAGGCTTCATACAACTACACAGAAGCTAGAAATTAGCTCCTTTTGTATATCTTGCTGTTCACACTTTGTCTGGATTCTGAGATGGCTAAATTCCCTAGCTGTGGAAAAATGCCACTAAGATTTACTGTTTACCACTTGCTATCCCCATGGTGCCTTTCAGACAGGATGAATTAGCAATTTGATTTTAGAAAACATCGAGAATATTATCTCAAAAAATAAATCCTTTTAATATCAGATTCTCTAGGCTACTTTGTCATTGACTTTATTGTTTCCTTTAAGGTATTTATGATATGCTGGTAAGAGATCTGAATAGTAGCAGTAAGCAGATGGAGTCATTATGGAACTAATGTACAAAAATTTTAGTTGCAAGTAGACATGGTTTTATCAAATGAGTTTCATGTATGACTTGAGGCTTTATTTCTTCCATCATATTGACAGAAAGGATTTTGCAGAGAGGAGAACTTGAAAATAATAATGCTAAGCATGAAAATAACATTTCTTGATTAACTTCTACATTCTACTCTCCAGAAATGTGACAACAGAATTAATCACGCTTTCCTGATCTTATTGGAAATTATCTAGTGTAATACCTAAGGAATTGGAGCTGAGCTTGGTAGTTGTGAATAATTTGAACAAATTAAGCTTTGAGCTGTTTTGTACTTTTAAGCTTGGAAATACTAGTAAATGTCTACGTGTATATTACTAGCAATATAGGCATTAAAGTATGGCAGGCACATCCAACCTGCAGCCCTTGGGCTGCATGCAGCCTGTCTCAGCTTGCAGTGCAGCTGCCCTCTGCCCCATGCCATCGTGGTTCATTGTTCAGCATCAATCAAATATATCAGTGCACTGTTAACCCTACATGGGCTGAAGCCAGGACAAGGGAAGGGAACAGTGCAGTTCCAACACAAGTTAGGAACTTTGTTTTGCTGCATTGGATAAACAGTCCTCTGAACAGCAAAAAAAATACAGTTTTACTTTCAAATTCCTTAATCACAATGGAGAAAAAGTTTCAATTTTTTTTGTGTATTTGCAACTCCATTTTCAGTCAGCATAAATACATGACCTGCACATTTCAAATGGAATGGATAGAGTTATCAGACATTCAACTAAGAAATCTGATCACGTCTCTTTACTGGACTCACAAGCCCTGTGTTAACAGAGAAATGTCCCTTACCTCGCAGTCGTGCCTTATGTGATTGATTTTGGCAGTATGTATATTTGTGAATAACTGTTTTCAAGGATGCAGCATGGGAAAAATGAAATTTCATCAGAAATCTGACCAACACCTTGAGACCTCACAAAGAGTTTAAACCACTGCCATTGAACCAGATTGAGGCTTCACAAAAACAAGGTCAAATATCCCACCAGTTGTTTGGTTTTGTTGATATCCTTTGTTTTAACAAACCATTAAACATTAAAATGTTTTGTTATTCATGTTAACTATATTACATATTTTATGAGGGCAGCTCCAAAAACTGTCTCATGATGTCAGAGGTGAAGGTTGGTGGTGTGGTAGTAGAGGTTGAATCTTCCTGCCAGTATTCCCTTAGTGTTTTGTTACTGTCTGACAGATGGCAGCAGAGGGTTGGTCTGATGGAATGGCATCTGGCATGGAAGTGTGTATGAAACAAAGGTGTGTTCTGAATTTTTCTGTGCAGAAAAAATGGCACCCATTGAGATTCATCAATGCTTGCTGAATATTTATGTAGACCAACAAGTGGGTGTGAGTGCAGTGAGGCAGTGAATGCTATGTTTCAGCAGCAGCAACAGTGGGTCACTTCTGCTGATATAGGCTTTTATGGGAATGGTGTGCAGGGTCCTGTTCTCACTGATGATAATGCAGAGCTAATATTGGTGACTGTGTTGAAAAACTGTGTTTTGTAACTGAGAATTTATTCTATCAAAGTATTACTTGCTCATTGTATTTGTTGTAGTTCCCATGGAAATCAACAGGTGGCATTATTTTTGGAGCAACTTATATACATGCAGCCCCAGACAGTTGTTCTTCACCCAGAGTGACCCAGGTAAGCCAAAGGGTTGGACGCCCATGAAGTATGGCTGTGTGAGTTCTTGAAACTTGACTTGATTTGCCTCACTTGGCGGTGCTGGTGGTCTTAAAATCAACTTATCATCATCTTCAAATCATCAATTCTGGTCTGAGAGCAAAATTACAGGGATACCATGCCGTGATTTCTGGAGTACTGTGTAAGCATGCAAAATACAGTGTGCTTGGATATTCAGGATATTCATCAAGTCTTCCTATTTAAAATTTACCATCTTTTTCTTAAATGATGGTGCCAGTATGAAGCCATTGTTCTGTAATGGAAGAACAATATCTCACCAGAGGTATTAAATATAGATATACATTCATTTTTAAAATGTCTGCTCTTCAGATCACAGAGTAATTCCTAGCAAATCTATCCAGTCATTCACTTTGTATGCTGCTCTAAACACAGTTCAGCATACTTGAAATTGATACAACTTTTGTATTAGAATTTTATTCCAAAGCTGCAAAATAATTTGCAATATTAAGCAGAAATAAAAGAAGTAGCCATTTTCCTACTGAATGTTGTCTGGTGGCCTGTGTTTATTTATAGTTCGGTGCCATCATAGAATAACTGAAGAAAAAGTAATTTTTTAGGTCATGCTAGCACTGTGGTGGCTTGCAAGTTCTCAGTGTCATAGATCAGATGTCCTTTCTAAGATCAAACGTTACATGATTCTAACTCCCCCCTGCTCAAAGCAGGGTCAATAGGAGCAGGTTGCTGAGGACTGTGCATAGCTGGGTTTTGAGCATCTCCAATGTCGGTGAGTCTGCAGCCTTTCTTGGCAACCTGTTCAATCAACCTTACAGTGGGGAAAAAGTCTTGTTTCTCATATTTTTCTTTTCTAATAAGAACATGTATTCAAATTGTTATTTAAATTATTACGTGGTCACCAAGGCTTACAATTTATTTGTCTTAATTTGTTGTAATACACTGATGAAATGGTCTGTGCTGTTGTTCTGGATGGGCACAACTAGGCCAAACGGTTGGAGCATGTGAAAACGAGAGTGAGAGTCACTCTGTTGGAATGAGCATTCAGTGCTAAATATAGAAGTGCTGTATATTCTGGCAAATGGTGAGAAAGCAGAACATATGTTGGATACCCTTGACCAGTGTCAAAAAGGGAAGCTGCAGTTGTTTGTGTGTACCTGCGTATGAAAGTATTTTCTGCTTAATGTTTGTTTTCTGTCGCATACCTTCATTTCTCTTAATTATTTTACAGCTAATGTGTGGCTTCCTGCCCCACGTCCATCATTCATCTGAATCAGTTCCAAAGTTAGGACAATTTGTATTTACTATAAATATTCCTTCCTAAATACTGGTTTTAAAGTAATTCTGTTAGCACGGTGCTTTCCTTCTAGGACTTGCTCTGTTCAAAGGCAAACTGCATTAGTGAGTTGTTTGTAGGACAGCTTCTGTTTTCTGCTGTACCTTCTATAAACAGAAGGTGGCAGATATTTCATTTTTGTTCTGGAAAATATGCTGACTTCTGCAGTGTTTAATGATTCAGCCATTGTGCTTTGGCATTCTTACATAGAATGGCAATGGAGACTGCAGTTGGGTTGGAGGGTATTTAGCCTTCAGAATTTTTTTTTTTTCAATATTTAGTTTAAAAAACAAACAACAAAAAAAACAAGCACCTCTTAATCATAAGGAATTCAGTCAGGCAGCCTTTCTTTCCCATCACAAGGCAAGTAAACAGGAAAGCAGTTGGGTTTGATTCTTGGTACTGATGTTTCAGTAACTGTTCATGATATCTGCTGAGGTGTGATCCATGTGTACAGGGAGTACTGTATCTGTCCTCCCTGAGGCCTATTTGTACACTGCTTATTAGAAGCATGAGTGGGAACGCAAAGATACTTTTACTAGCCTTTTAACATGGATGTGCTTGCTGGGCTACCTCTGGGGCCTTGCTGGTTGGAATGCTTTTTGGAATGTCCCAGGCTCCGAGCCCAACCCCGCCCTGGAATGTGAGGTTAAATGTTGGCGGTACAAATACAGAGTTTGAATATTGAAATCCTAGAGTTCTCCAGCGCTGCAATTTCAGAAAGCTGGCAAGTGAACCACATGTCAGCTCAGCTGCTCTCTGATTCAAAGAGTAAGCATGCCTTGGGTTGCTGGGGGAAGAGGAGGAGGTAGGATGTTTTTTGTTTTGGTTTGGTTTTTACTTACCCGTTATGACCTGCACAAGAGCATGCTTTTCAGACGTTAACTGGCAAGGTTGCAGGAGGTCCCAAACAGGTGCGAAGTTGAAAGAAGCCTTTATTCACAAAAGTGTTTTATCAACACTTCTTTAAACCCGCGTACTGTAAGCTCTTGCCTTATTAAGAAGTCTGCCTGTATTTGAAATTGTTTCTGAGATGGCCTACAAGACTGGATTCCATCTGTACAGCAGTGCAAGAGGCCAGTGTTCAGACTTTTTTTCTGAGACTATGATGGTGAAGCTGATGAGAAGCATTAAAAGCAACATGCGAGCCCTTTGGTGAGGAGGGAGTGCCTTGTGTATTGTTAAACAGCAGTTGCCTAGGTCAATTAAGGAGAAGAACTGATGAGCTCCAGAGGGAGCCTAGTCTAGTCATCCTTACTCAAAGGAGTATTAACTTCTGTTTTTATGAGAGGAGGCTTAAAAAATATACACATTTGTGGTGTTCACTTGGCTTCCAATTGAAATTCTGTTGCAGGAGTTAATGTGAATCTGCCCATTAAATATCCATTAGGTAAATAAATAAATGCTTTTCCCTTGCTCTGGTATGGTGGGAGAGTCTGTTTTCCTTTTTTAGAAAGCTGTTGTCTGACAGATATCCTCTTGCAGGAGGATGCAAAGCACTGGACATTTTACTCATTTTACTGACATTTTACTCATACTGACTTAATTTTCCTTGATGGTCTCTATGTATTTGTTAGTACTTTAGTTTGAAATTTTGTTTGATATGTACAGTGGGCTTCTTGCTTAAGTGTTTGGTCAGTGATTGTGACTGAAATAGTTTTAATTTATTCACAGTTGTAAAAATAGATTTTTTCGATTAGTGTTTTGTGGGCTTGAGCTCACAGCTGAATTTGAGTGCAGGTCTTCAATCTATCCTGTTAAACTGTTTTAATATTATTTAAACACTTTACCTTTCCTATGAAGTTTTTTGTTGGTTTGTAAAGTTATCTCTGTGATGCTGGGACGCTGCATGTGCCGCACG